CTTCCCCTACACTTTTACTCAAATAGGCAATTCACTGTGAATTGCATGCCTACGATATGCGCTTCATTTATTCCACTACGAACGGTTTTTAATGCATAGCCTTAAACGGAAAGCCATAAAAGTATCTAGCAGTGCACAAAACCAACGTTGCAGTGAAGATTATCACATGCGACATAGGTGCTATCCTATGAACTGTTAAGTGAAACTCCAAAATGTGTTCTTGGTTCAGAAAGATTGCTGGAGTGGGATTGTAATAAGCTTTGTTATTGTGCAACTTAATCCCACGATCTTTAGTTCTCTACATTAATTTGGTTTTCTTACGAATTGCACTCCGGCATTCTGTGAAAATAATACTCTGAAACTGGATAAGGGTGCATTTCTCACACCATTCTGCGGTTGGCTTTGACTAAGAATTCTCGACAGAAACTGAAGCGTCATGAAAAGAAAAATCTTGTTCTAGTGATGGCATCTTCTCCTAAAGGCTCAAAATGGTCCTTTTACTAGCTAGCAACTATGTCCTTATCAATTAGGCAATATGAAGCCGGACAAAAACACGAACATTATCTTCCGCACGCAGTATATAGCGATTTCTGCTTTTTTAATGTCCCACTGCAAGACAAGGCATTAGTCGTTTTAAAAACACACTCAATTTCCGACTAAGTTTACATCTGACTGACTGCTAGGTCTGCATTCTGGGTTTCTAGCGACTATCTGTATTTTTTCTGTGGAAGGAAAATCTTACAGTTTTGTACGCTGTTAAGACGAATTCACATAGTATTCAGGACAAACAAACCTCTTCGATTAATTCATCATCGGCCTAATACAATAATATCAGGGAGGACAGAGTAAACAAATACAGGGTGTCCCAAAAATGTATACAAATTTGAAATCATTGTAAACTTGGCATTTATTATTATTTTTATTATTTCAGAAAAGTAAAAATAGCTACAAGTATCATTTTATCGCTTTTTCACCGCATTTTGACCATTGCAACAGTGGTCGAATTGAGAAGGGCCACTGAACATGAATGCACCCGAATACCGAGGGAATTGTTAATGATGTGTACGATTCCACTGCTTCGCGTTGTCAACAGTGTCATGGTCAACATGGACGTCAATTTGAGAACATTCAGTGAAAATAAAAATAAAATGATACTTGTGAATATAATTACTTTTTTATAATAAAACTATGATAAACACCAATGGTACAAGTATGTAAAATATGTATACATTTTTTGAGACACCCTGTATGTAAGCGACCAATCGGCAGTAATTATGTGCAGGGGTGTTATGAGATCAAATGGGGCAAGATTCTAGTCATAATTAGAGAGCAGAGAGGGGAAAGGGGTCCGACAGTTAGGTCTAGTCGCCCAGTTGTCCCTGCCTCGAGTTGTTTTAGGAGGCGTATGCTCGCAAGGTGACATTGTCTCGTGACGGCGTGGGTGGCCTTGGGCTGCCTTTCTGTTGCGGACGAACGTTTTCGACTAATTCATCGTCAGACATGTACAATAATATAAAGGGAGGGTAGAGTTAGCCAAGGTTTGAGTAACCAATCAGCGGTAACTAAGGGGGCAGACGGGAGAAATTGTTAAGAGATCAAGCGGGAGGGGTAGGGGTCCTACAATTAGTTCATGTCACCCGGTCATCTCGTCGCCGCTTCACGGCGCCTTGATACCAGTTGGCCCTAACTGCTCATCATCTTGTAGCATGATAGGGTGTGTGCGGTTGGATGTTGAATTTGTTCTCGGCCACGGGAGCCGTAGCGCCACTAAAACCGCCTTCTACGCACATAAGATCGGGTTTGTTAGGCTATGGCGACTACCTCTGCCGTCGCAAGTGTCCTTTGACGCAGGAACTTGAAATTTTTCGCCGGCACTTTATACTAGACTCGAAAAGCTTGGTTTACGTCTACCCGGTGACCGCTGTCAACCGAGTGAGCCAAATTCGCGCTGGATATTGACCTTTTCTCGCCTCTGTTTTGCCAGGCAGGATGGTGTTCCCGCATGCGCTTGGATAGCCGCCTACTTGTTCGACCAATATAACCTGACCCAAAGCAGCATGTAAAGTTGTAGATACACATTGAAGAAATCTGGAACGGGAGTCTATCCTTGTCTTCAAGGCAAATAAGTGGAGTGCTAGAAAGTACTAATTTTAACTTAGCTGCTGAATACGCACGTGCGATTGCAGCGTTCAAGCGAAGCTGTAGAATTTCGCTTGCTAAATCCCCTTGAAAAGGCAATGTAAACAATAAGGTTTTCTTCTCAGTCGTCGGCATGTCCGATTTTTGTGGATGTTCTTCCATAAACTTATTAATGAACTTCTCGGGAAATCCATTTTCTTGTAGGGTGTTTTTGATGAGTACGAATTCTTTCTCCAGTGTTTCTGGGGAACATATTCTCCTGGCTCGGTTCGAGACGCAGAGGCAGTCGGCATAAGCCTCACAAACCCGATCTTATGTTCGTAGAACGCGTCTGTAGTGATGCTACGGCTCCCCTGGCCGAGAATAAACTCAACATTCGTTCGCACACCTCCTATAATACTATGAGACGATGAGCAGACAGTGACAACTGGTGTCAAGACGCCGTGAAGTGCCAACGAGATGACCGGGGGACATGAACTAATTGTAGGACCCCTCCCCCTGCCCCTTTGGTCTCCTAAAAATGTCTTCAGCTCCTCCTTAGTTACCGCTGATTGGTTGCTCAAATTTTTGCTTACTCTACCCTCCCTTTATATTATTGTACATTCCTGATGATGAATTAATCGAAAACATTAGTTCGCCTAACTTGACGTCCTGAATGATTCCATGGGTATTATCGCTGAACATTGCATTTAGTTGCAGATGCAAAGACCTTTACTATAGGCAATGGCACTTGGTCAACTTTGCCAGCCAAAATGGCTACTGAGGGAAGAAATTAAACTTTCCCGGGTCTCAATTACGATGCATTTGTTGAAAACTGTTTATTCGACGGTCCCAACAATTTTATTTTATGTTCAACACCGAGCGACGACTGGTCTTATTCCGCGCCTTTCAGAAGGCGCTGGAGGAGGCCAGAACTGTCGACCCAGCTGGCGCACGTGATCTACCTCGTACGGACACGGTTAGCAATGGTGAGGAAAATAACCTCATTTCCTCGCCCATCCGCTTACTGCCCCGAAGACCCAACCCAACACATCTGAATGCCGTCCCATGTTATGCAGCCGTAAACGCAGGGTTAACGAGCTTTCGCGGTAACCTGAACTGCCTCACCTAGGTAACCTCCCTTCCCTTCATCGTGTCCTCCGCACACCATGACAAAGTCCCATGTTTTTATTTATCCCATCACGTTTCAGCCCTACAGACCGGCTTCTGGTTGACCAGTTAACTTTATTACAATGGAATGTTCATATGCAGTTGAATAAAAGGTCACGCGATGCGATGGTGCCCTTAAGTGCTAAAATTAAAGTCGCATTGGCTTTTGCATATTTGTTCAAGCAAGCAATATTTTAAATTCTATGAATATTTAAAGACCTTTTATGTGCTTACTAATCATTTATCTACTACAAAACGGACGACGGTGAACTTTGGCTAAAGATTCGTAAACGGCTTTAGTATGCACGAAACGAGATGCTTAGGCTGCTTTATAAATTCATACGCTTATTCTCAGCTTTGACATGCTGTGGTAAACAAAAACAGATTAGCTATAAGGACACACAGCTTGCAAATTCCTGTTTCGTGGCGTATCGCCGCAGTAAAAATACACGAACCAGTTGTTCACATTTCTCTGGAAAACAGTGCAAAGCCAATGATCAATATTCAGTTGTAAGATCATTTTGGCATCGTAAGTTTTAGTTGGCGGACAAATTATTTTCAGACATCTAACTAGAGCGTATAAATATTCTGCGAATTCTCCAATTCTAACAGAAAATACCAAAGCGTCAAATGTTTCTAAAATTATAAACTCCAATGCCGTTTTATATTGATCTAGTTAACTATCAGGGTCTGTGCACGTTCACTTTATTTGCGACAAGAATCTGGGGCTCACAGTTTTGCCTCTATTCGTGATAACCACATTCAGAATGATGTAAAGCAATATTTCACTATTAGCTTTGAATGCTTAAAACTAAAGTCTGGAAAGATTGCAATGGTCTGAACGAAATTAATATATAACTGCGTGGAGCTAAGCAAAATGAATGTATTTAAATAAAGTAAACTCAATTCAAGTATACAAAAACATGTTCATATTTGATGACGACAGCTTCAACATGCACAACAAAGTGAACCCTTCAGAGAAACAACAGATTTTCTACCTGGTGTTGGATTTGTTTTCTAGCTTAGCCTATGGCCACCAAAATTATATAAGGCTACACGCATCGATTAAAATCTTGAATCTGTATACTGCCAATTGTTGCAGAAAGTGAATTTTGTTTATTTTGAAAATCACCCCATCATTTAAGTCCGAAGCATAGGTAGAAATATGAACGATAAACCAGAGTAATGTGTAACGTTACCCAGTAAAGCAACAAGCAGGATCTCCATTTCATCTAGGTACTGAACGTGACCTAAGACGCTATGTTTTATAGCTCTACAACTGATTCACACTATACTATTACAGAGCCGACGATTTTAGTTTAAAAAACTGTTTACCGTGTGTCCTGCCTGAGGAGTT